TAAGGCTTGTACCTTTTGCAAATGTATGGAAGTATATGAAGATGTATGGAGAAGAAATGAATAGAAATATAATATATTTTTGTATTGTCTCACTTCGTCTTTCTAAATTTTCTTCTTCTTTTAATTGATTTTTTTTTATTTTACAACATTAATTAATTTCACATAACTATAACAAAATCATATTTAATAACCATCAACACTGCTCATTGTTTTCATGTTAAAGGCCAATTTTAGTCTCTCAACTTTAGCTTTAGGATTTTGCGTAGTTTTTGTTTCTTAACCTTTTTTATGCTTTTTTTTTATACACAAATAATAAATTAAATCTTATACTTCTTATGTTCATTTTTAATAGATTTGATTTGACTTTTTCACTTTTCATATATAAATTTTAGATAAAATTTTAACATATTATATAATTGATAGTTTAATTTTTTTTATCAAATAAATACTCAACAAAAACTTTATATACAAAAAAAAATTATGTTTGAAATTTATATTTTAAAAGTCAAAAAATCAAACTAGATATACTAAAAATAAACGGAGATGATATAACTTTTAATAAATTATCCTAAAAATGTTTTTGACATCTAATTTGAAATTTTAGGAAGTATTACAATCAAAATAATAAAGTTCCTTTATCAAATAAGAATAATAACGATGATGATGATGATGATGATGATGATGAAATTGCTGATAATCAGTGGCAGAGCTAGAATTCGAGATTAGGGGTGGCCAGATTTGTGAATAGTTAAATCAAATTTATGTTAAGTATTATTTTTTCATTCTATTTTGATTGTGTTAATTTGACTTTTGTCTCAAGTTTTATTTGTTGATTTTATTTAATAAATAGATGATAGTTGAAATTTTTTTTTCTTTTTAAATATAGTGCTTATTCAATATTTTTACTTCGATTAACAAAACTTTTAATGGTTATTAATTTATTATATAAAGTCATCAAATTATTTAATATAAAGTTGATAGAGTAGGAATATTAGAAAGTACCATGAAGAGTAGTAAATAGTTGTAAAGTTATAAACTTGTGTCTAAAATCAAACTTGATCATCCTCAATGTGAAATATATTTTACTTTGGAATTTTTGATAATTAGTGAATAATTATCTAGTTGTATTTATAGAGAAAAAAATAAATAGAATAAAACACATCTAAAAATATGTAATAAATTTAGAAACATATCAAAAATTGGTACAACAAATGACAAGGTAAAAATAAATAGATTTGACTTAATAAAGAATTATGAGTTAGAAGTGAAATTGTAATATTTGACCTAAAAAATAGATATTGGTTATTAAAATGAATATTTTAGACTAATTTTAAGAATTATAAAGATGATGATTTAAGGTTTTTCCAAGATTAAAACAAGAATGAAGACAAGGTAGAGATATGTTAGAAGTCTAGAGTTTTTTTTACCAATTTTTTGGCTAAAATTATTAAAAATTAAAAAGTAGTTTTTAAATTTAATAAATTAGTCTAAAAGAATTACTAATGTTATATTAACATTCTACTTTGAATGTAATGAGAAGATTTATAAAAAGATTAATGATAATTATTTTCATAAATATTAAGAATAATTAAGTAGATAAAATAAATTTTAAGGGTCAAATCTCTAAAATATAAAATATGAGGACTAATTTTAAAAGTTTTCAAATCATGACTCCACCACCATGGATGATGCGATATGAAGTTAT